GTGTTGGTGTAAGGAAAGACATATAGATCATTTGAATAAAACAGAGAATCTAGAAATAGAACCACACATATATGGTCCACTGAGTTTTGAAAGATTATTTACCATTAGCATTTTATAGAATATAAACTCGTGGATTAGAATTTTCAAAGGTTCTCCAGGTTAAAAGCATAAACAAATAACAAATATACACACAGACTTTTGTACTTACTAGATTTCAGATTAAAGACAGTATAAAGAATGTCCTTGCCAGGACAAGGAAAAGCCTTGGAAATTAGGAGAATAATTTACCAAACACTTAGTTTCTAAACTAGTATTGTGAAATGGCCTAGAAAACATCGAAAAACAAGGTCAATGGAGGAAGATTTTTACTGGCTGTTTTTAAAATTTAGCATCAGCTGGCCAAGAGTGGAGGCCTACACCTGTAATCCAGGCACTCTAGGAGGCTGAAGCAGAAAGATCATGAGTTTGAGTCCAGCTTGAATAACTTAGCAACTTGGTGAGACCCTCTTTCAAAATAAAAAATAAAAGGGGGTAGGGAAGTAGCTCAATGTGAAGGTTCTGGGTTCAAGTTCCAGTATCCATTAAAAAAAACTTACTAACAGCTACAGTGACTGAAATAGGTGTCAAAATAGATAACCCAATAAACTGGAATGGAAAGCCTTGCACATCACTTTGGTGGGCACTCCAGCTCTTCAGTCTCTGGTTACCGTCTCTGTATCTGGAGAGGTTGGAAGTCTAACCTCTTTGCAATTAGATTTGGCCAGTTAGGTGTCATTGAGCCAGATACAGAATGCACAAGAGATGCAGTGGTCATTTTCCTACTGCTTCTGATGGACATGAGGCATCCACGGGGAGAAGGAACCCACCTGGTACGAACAACCTCTTAGCCATGTTCTCCAGATGTTCAGTCCATCTTGTCCACCCTAATCCAAATGACAGTCCAAAAGATCTTGGTAACTCTGCCTGCTAGTCCTTCAGGTGGAATAACTAATACAAAAATCTCTAGTTTACCTCTAGGAATTTGCTCTAAAGGCAGAGCACAGGCAGCCGTGGTAGCACACGGTCGTGCTGTAATCCCAGCACTTAGGATTCTGAGGCAGGAGGATTGCCGTGATTTCAAGGACAGCCTGGGCTACATAGTGAATTCAAGGGCAGCCTGAATTATATAGTGAGACCCTGTTTCAAAAAAAAAACAAAACTAAACTAAACTAAAGGCAGAGGATGCACAGGAAGACCAGACTTCTCCCTCAGCTGGCACTGCCTCCTGCAATGTCAAAAGAGCATAAAAAAAGACTAAAAAGGCAAGTAACAAATTGAGAAAACAGTTGCAATATAGGGCAAAAGATATGAATAAGTAGTTTGCAAGTGATGCATAAAAACAGGTTGAACTTTACAAGCAATTAATAAAATAAAATAACACTATGAATCAGTTTTCCATCACATTAGCAAAGACAATGCCTTAAGTCACTTTCCTCATATCGGGGACAAAATACCTGACACCTGCAAGAAGTTTCTTTTGGCTTAGTTTCAGAAACTGCGGTCCATAGTTAGCCATCTCAAACTCAGAAAAGACATAGTGAAAGGGCCTGTTGTGGAAGAAAGCTACTTACATAATGGCAATCAGGAAGCAGGGAAGGGAGAACGGAACAGAGATACACTTTTCTAGGTCATGCCTCCAGGGACCCACCTCTAACAAGGCCCCACCTCCTAAAGGCAACTTAGCCTCCATGATCCAGTCACCTTCTAAAAAGTCCCACCTCTGAACACAGAAGCCATTTGGGGAACATCTAGATCTAAACTATAACCCCACCCCCAAGACTCATGTCCATCGCATTATGTAGAGTGCATTTAATCCACCTCTAAAAGTTACCAAAGTTTTTTTCTTTTGGTACCAGAGGTCGAACTCAGGACCTTGCGCTTTCAAGGCAGGTGCCAGAACCAGAGCTAAATCCCTCGCCCAAGTTACCAAAGTTTTAACAGTTCCATGTGGATAAAAAATATGCCAGTGTTTATTAATCTAGAAAGGAGTTTATTTATCTAATGTGATTTTTAACTGCCTTGTACTATCTTGTCATATACAAGTTAATTTGTGTGATTACTGAACACAATTGGAGTTTTAAGCAAGGATTAAAAAAGATTTAGTATGTGTTAATTTTCTTTATAAAGGTAAAAACTCCTATGGTTTAGTCATTATTGAAGAATCCTAAAAGGTAGCATTTACAGAAAATGGTTTCTTTCTTTCAGTCTCCTTTTTCAGCTAGTACAAACACATGATACAAACTATCATTTCAGTAATTTTCCTCAGTTGTAACTGTTTCTGTTGTTAATATGTATTTTATACATGCAAATTAATCTCACAGCTACTGCTATATCTAGCTGAGGAGAGAGACCACATCTGTTGACCTGCTGTACTAGATCAACAGTATCCCCCCTGCTCTTTTTATTTTTTTGAGAAGGGTCTCACTGTATAGTCCAGGCTGGCCTTGAACTCACAGCAACCCTTCTGCCTCAGCCTCCCAAGAGTTGGGATGACAGACATGCACCACCATGCCCAGCCCAACAGTATCCCTTTATGAAGACAAAGAACTCTGAATTGAGAACATCACTCCCATCATGGATTTGCTTAAATATATGTTTATTCAAAACCAAAATTTATTCTTCTCTTCTATGGTTGATGATTTGAATATGCAGTAAATGGGGGTAAAGACATTTTCAGCCATTGTTAAAAAAAAGAATTGAGGCATCTGAAAAAAGAAACCTATGGGTCAGAGTAATAACTCAGGAAACTGCCACTCATCTAGTTATCCATAGTAGAAATAAAGGTTGGCTTATACTATTGTAGCAGTAAGTAGGACTCTCATTTCCAGATGTCTTGAGGGAGATGTGACTGTATGTACTTACCCAGTGTTACAATCAGGACAGGCATATGGGTGCACTTATGTGTCTGGATTCTCTGTGATAATCCCATCTCCATATTTCCCTGCCTGGATGGATTTCACAACTGCTGAGCAGAGGACTTTGCATCCCAGGCAGCTCTGCATCAGGTAGTGAGAACTCTTCTTTTTTTTAAGGGAATGGTCCATGTAAATGTAGTCCATAGCTGTAGTCCATGATTTTAAACCTTTTTAGCACCCAAGAAGAAAAAAGACCAGTCAACCCAATGGCCTGTAAATTTCATGGATACAGAATCAGAGGGCTCTATATATTCAGACATACTGCTCTACTCCCATGGACTGATGGATAGAGGAAAAAAATCAAAATAAGAACACTTGAGGTAATTGTTGTGGTGGTATTATTAATTCCGCAGGCAGGAAGGATTATCACAATGGTTGCAAGATGAGATTTTTATGCAGACTGAAATCGTGTCTTTTCTCGCCTCTCCATGAATTTTTCACAAAGAGCATTTACTGAATACTCACGTGCCAGGTGTGAAGTGCTTTATTTGGATTCAATTCTTACAACCCAATGAGCCAGGTACTATTATTGTCTATATTTTACAGATGAAAAAATTGAGGCAAAGTGGTAAGTAATTTGTTCAGTAACACACAGAGACCCAAGTGGTCAACTCTGGCATCCACACTCTTAGCAAGCACTAGAGCAAAAAGACTATCAACCAATAGTCTCTGAAAGCCTACATCTTCCTCAGCGTGAAGACTCAGCTGTAATGTGTTTTTGCCTAGATTGTTCTCAAAATCTTAATGTTTCTGCGTTGCTGGTCTCCTTTGCAAAGCCTGTCTTTCAAAGTTGTCTGTAGCAAGTCTTTTAAAAATATATGCTCTAGGGCCAGGGAGTTTAGCTCAGTGGTTCTGCCACCTGTCTCACAAGTGCAAGGTCCTGAGTTCAATCCCCAGTTCCAAAAAAACAAAACAAAACAAAACACGATCTCAACAAAGGAAGAAAAAAATGCCAAAAGACAGACACAGTAGTACAGCCTGTAATCCCAGCCTCTAGGAGGCTGAGGCAGGAGGAGTGAAAGTTCAATCCCAGCCTGGACAACTTAGTAAGACCCTGTCTCAAAACTTAAAAATTACATAAGAAAAGGGGTGGGGATGTAGTTCAGTGGGGAGGCCCTGGGTTCAATCCTTAGTACCACAAAAGGAAAAAGAAAAGCTAGAAGATCAGAGCCTAGGTTCCAGTTTTCAAAACGGGGGAAAATTGAGGCTGTGAATAGGTCTACAGTTCTGATAAGATTCTACAACACGGCATGGCATGGCATGGCACTTGAACTCCAAAAATTCTTTTGTTTTTTGATAGGGTCTCTATATAGTTCAGGCTGGCCTTGAACTCACTATGCAGCCCAAGCTGGCCTCGAACTCATGGCAATCCTCCTGCTTCAGCCTCTTGAGTGCTGAGATTACAGGCATGTGCCAATATGCCTGGCCCTAAACATCTATAGTAGCTTACTTGGATTCAGCTTAAAGTTAAGAAAAAAAGCAACCTGGTAATTTTGGAACTTGGAAGTTGTCTTAGTTAATTTTCTTGTTGCCAAGACAAAATATCCAACACCCAAAGTTAAAGGAGGAAAGGTTTATTTGCTCACAGTTTGTAGAGGTTTTAGTCTACAGTCAGCTGCCTCCAAGGTAGAGTGGCATGGCAGAGGGGCACTGCAGAGGAGAAACAGTCCAGGGCAAAGCAGGGCAGGCAGAAAGCAGCGAAGTAGCACCAGCAGCAAAGCAAGCCTGCCTTCTATTTCATCCAGGCTACCGGCCCTTTGGGCAGTGCCACCCACACTCAGCATTTTACCTTTATCCCAGCATCACACACTCTAGATCCAGCCACCTCTGAAAGTTCCACCTATGACCACAAGAGGCTTTTGGGGGACATCTAGATACAAGCCATAATGGGAGTCCAATGTTTGAAGGAGTAGGTTTCTTTTAAGGAGACAGGAGGTACTTGACAGTGGTAGTTCAGTGTGCAGTAAAGGTGTGGTCAGTGACCAGACTGCACGGTTCAAGTCTAGACCCTACCTGTAGTCCTGCAACAGCGGGTATACTCCTCGCTGTGGTGATGGTATTTGGGGTCCCGATTTGTGGGTATTCAATTACTTGTAAAGAGTTCAGCCCAGAGCGGGTACAGCCAAGGGATATGGAGGGGCAGTTTTCATTAGTACCCCTAGCCTTTCTCTTTTTAGTCGAAGGTCCTGCCTTATACAGAGATGCAGTGAGAAAAAGTGATGAACAAAACTTTTCTCGGTATTGCTACACAGAGTTCTCAGCACAGAAACAGGTAAACACAAGCCTTCCTTGGTGCTTTCTGAACGGTGCTTCGCAGGACCGGCATCCGGAGAAGAGAGCTGCCTGCCGGTGGCTTTAGGAGCCCGATAGCCGGCCAGCCGTTGCTAGGCAACCTCTGGACCCAGGGACTCTCACACTCCTCGCCCCGCCCCTTCCCGCCCAAATCCAGCCTGGCGACGCAGTCGGAGTGGTGACGCTGGCGACAGGCACAAGCCCCGGACGCATGCGCTCCTCTTCCCGCACGAAACAAGGGGCATACTCCCTCTCAGCGCCCTCTTCTCGGTCCCGCCCCCTCTTGTACGGCTCCCATCCTGAGCCCGTAGCTCCGTTTCTCACCCAGATCAGATTTGGCCCGCAGTTAGTCTTCAATCGTGTTAACAGTGTAGAACAACTTCCAGTGCTGCAGACCCGCCTCCCGTGCTCCGGTGGTGGAGCTGGTGACGGGCAGGGGCGTGGGGTGGAGGAGGCCGGATGTTGAGAGGCAGTGACTACCTCGGGCTCACTTCCGGAGTATGGCGGAAGTGGCTGCGGCGGAGGGGGGGGAAGGAGTGCTGGGGGAGGGTTGGGCCTCCCGGGGTCGAGGGGGTGGGGCCTGGGCCAGCGGTGGGACTCAGCCCGAGTCCGGACTTGGACTCGGCAGGCAGTGGCTTCCAGCCCACCTACACTAGGCAGGATCCAGGTAAGTAAGCCGCAAGTTTAAGGAGAGGGTCGACAGCGAGGCAGAGAGATGGGGCTCGGAAACCAGTGAGGGTCGCAGCATCACACCCCCCCCCCCCCGTGCTGCATGAACTAGGAACGTGAGGTTCCGGGGAGAAGGGTGGGAGGAGTTAAGTCCTTGTTGGGGAAGGGGGGTTAGGAGCAGGCCACGCCCCTACAGGAAGGAAAGGTGCATGTGTATGTTGAGGAATAAACTTAGGAGGGGGTCGCAGAGGTGGGCTCTCGCAGTGAGGCATTAGAACACTGGGGCTACCGCTGGCAGGACCCAGGCCTCCGAGGTTCCAGGAGAGTGCTCTTGGCAGTAGCCCTGTGAAGGAGTTTGACAGGCATTGGGAATTAATCCCGGGCAGTTTTGGAAGCAGAGGGGGAAGTGAAGGTTGAGAAAAAGGAGCAAGGAATGCCTGTGGAAGAGGCCAGCATCTAGTCCTGGAAAGAATTTAGTTCGCTGGAAGAGAGGGGCAGATCAAAGTGCTGAATACCTTAAGAAGCTTGAGAGATTCGATGAGTGCTTTACATGAGAGGACACTGTGCTTTTCTGTATTTCTTAGAAGACAACCTGCGCACAGTCAATGCTTTTGGTTACTTTTCTGTACTGAGAATAGGTGCACCTCTTACCCTGAGCTATATGCGTGTGCCCATATTGATAAGGTAAGTGTGTTTTGTGGTACAATATGTAAATTAAGTAAGTACATTGTATAACCTTAGGAATATTTAAGGATGAGGTTTTGATGATACAGGACAGTAAAGAAATATATTTTAGATACGGAGGGGGAACGAGAAAGTCTGAAGAATGCATTCAGGTACACCCTAGATTATAGTGCCATGTTTCATTGTTTTTCAGGTTAACACAGAAATCAGCCTCCCAGGCCATGTTGGATTTAAGGTCTGCTTCTTCTGTTTTGCCCCAGAAGAAGATAAATGGACCAGTCCTCATAGTGAATGACCTCCCCTTCCTGACCAACAGATGGGAGAGTAACTGGGATCTGTCCAACACTGGCCTCTGAGCTTAATAAACCAGCTGAATGAAGCAAGGTAACAGCCTCCTGGGAAGGACTTTGAAGTCTGCAGTGTGGGGGGGAGGGGCTTGGACACACCCCTTCCCCCAGACTCCTCCCCCTCAAGGTCCACTCAGCCATGGACTTTGGACCTGGATAAGAAAAGCTGCACATTTTTTGGTGGATCTGACTTGGATTCTCAGTTTTGGAAATGTAATACTGGAGGATGGGGGTTTGATGGTCTCCAAGGGAGCGACTGAGAGGAGAAAGGTAAGGTTCTTGTCTCATTTCCAACTTAGTGCCTTGCTCTTGTGGAGAAAATGCTAAATGGGGAACTCTAGGGACACTGCCATTCAGGAAGTAGGACACCATCTGTGTCCAAATGAGAATCCTTTCCCTAATGTACAGATAGCTTCACCTCTTCTTCAGTCTTTCTGGATACAAATTTGTTCCCATCCTTTCCTTACCAAGAAAAGTACCTAGTAGAGGATTGTGAGTAATTGGTATTTTGAGATTAGCTTAGTGAGGTTAGGCTAAGGAGAACAAGAAAAGAATTCAGGTGTAAAGGATGTTGGGTTAGATTACCCTTAAAGCCCTTTCCATCAGTGAGATAATAGGATTTCAAGTCAATTTGGGCTAAGACTCTAAAAGAGATTACCCAGGGCACAGGTAGGCTGCTTTCTTGGGGAGCTAACTGAATATGACAGCAGGCAGGGTGTTGGGATGGGAAATAGTCTAGATAATCTCCTAAATTGTCTCCTCCTTTCCTATAAGGGAGATTAGGCCATGAAATCTCATGGAAAGAACAGCGAAACAACCCAAGTTTGGGGATTAGTAGGATTTGTGTTCTAGCTCTGACTTTTTTCATCCATGTGCAAGCCTAGATATGTTGTTTAATCTCTGCCATGTTCTCTTCACTTCCAAAGTGTTGATAACTAGTATACCAAGAGTGCCTAGGACCGTGTACATATAAAACAGTAACACTGGCATCACTTGATATACCTGTTTGTTACACAAAGAAAAGCTTTGAAGTAGGAGTTCTGTTCTTCTATATTGAGTTAGTGTGCTGGCATAAGATTTAGAAGATGTCTTTAATTAAAAGCTTGGTCTGAATTTGTCTTGTTTTGTTGCTGTTAATACCTGGGATCATCCTGTTATAGAAAGGTAAACGGTTTAAGGAGAATTTAACTGCGTTGACCCCAAAGTTCTCCATTCAGCTTGACAGTGTGCTTCTTGGGGTAGCAGGTTAAAGAGGGGTGGAGAGAAGTTTAAGTCTTAAGGGCCAAGTGTCTATTTAATAGATAGAATTTCATTTCTTGAGGTGAGCACTGAGCCTTTTCTTCCTGTGCCATATCATAATCTTAGGCTCTTTAAGATGACAGGTGTTTTCAGGTTGACATCTCTTAGCTATTCATAGTTTTGCAGGCTGTGTTACCATTAAAGCAAACCTATTCATGGTTATCTTCTCACCACCTGCCTGTGCCTACCTTGAGCTCTGTTACCTATGCCAAGATGCCTGTATTTCTTAGTGAAGCAAATAGCAGACAGGAGTGATAGTGCCCAGCATGGGGAGTTTTGAGAGACAGCACGTACCCATTGCCTGGCCAGGGGCAGTAAGCTTGGGTTCCAGCATTCTCACTAGCTGAGTAACAGCTGGGCCTCATATTCCCTGGGGACTGGCAGCAGTACCAGAAAATCCTACATTTATGCATTGCTTTTTTATTGATTTGTTTCCATTTTCCCCATAGAAATTACTGCCTCCTCCACAGGCCTGGGTGGAATCATTGACCCTGAGCTTTTCTTTCTCTGGTCTGATGCTCAGGGCAGCCCTTTTGAAGCCAGGCTGCTACTGGTGAAGGTGTGGGTCTCAGGGCAGGTGTGTTACCTCCCCCAACTTGACCTTGCAAATTCCTGGCGCCAATCTTTGCATAGGCATAGGGTCTTTTGGGCTCTGTGGTTCCAAGATGACTCCTCAGCTGTCACTGGGGTCTTACATTGTGTGGAAGACTTTCTTCACCCAACCCAGGAGTCCCTCCAACATGCAAGTGAAGGTGTTGTGTTGTGTTTGTTTAGTACTTACATGATGTAAAGCGTCCAGTCTGGTGTGTCCATTTTCCCTTACCAGTTTCTTGTGAGGAAGGTGGAGCAGGAAGGTTTACCTAAGGGTGTAGTGGCAGGTGCTGCAGTCACGTGTGCAGTGCTGAGCTGCTTCTACAGCATCTGACCTGACTCAGGGCATCTCAGCTCTGCTATAAACCTCTAGGAAGAGAAACTACAGACTCTCTGGTAAGACTTCTTTAGAGTGAGCCAAACTTTGCCTGCTCTGCCAGAGCACCAGCTCTGCCCTCTACGGGACTCCTCAAGACATCCTTAGGACAGCTGACTCCTTCTTGCAAGAACACCAGAATGCTTGAAAATAGCACTTAAGAGCTGTAAGTCTACTTAGTCAGGGCCAGTGATAGGCTAAACCACCCATTGTGTGTGTGTATGTGTACATGTGTGTGTTTTAACTGAATTTTTATACCCTTTATTGCAAAAGGAATTACAGATAGCTAACAGAAAGTTAGATTTCACACACATTGCTCAATGATTATCTTGTTAATCTCTTCTTTTTCCTTTGACCTAATGAACTGAGGGTAGTGGGCTGAGGAATAGAGATGTTGGGAGGAGGGAGAGGGAAATTGAGACACTGATTTAAAACTTGCTTTTACTTTTACTGATAATTTCAAGCCGAGTTCTGTCTTAAATTCAGAGCATGAATTCTTTCCAAATCATAAAAACTTTCAGAATATCTTGGACATGGTTTATAGAAGCGCAATTTCCTGGAACAATTTTCATTTTCTTCTGCTTTCTGTAGTTCTCTTTTGGTGGTATTGGGGTGGGCAGGACAGTGTACTGCCTCTTGTAATTCTTTCAACCTGTGGCCAGATCTTTTTGTTTCTCCCTTTGCATAGAATCAGTCCCAGGTTCGGGCCTAGAATTTAGGCACCTGGCTCCTTGTTTCTGTTCTTCCTTGTTCTCTCTTTCCCATGAAACATCTAGAGAGCCCCCGGTCCCCTTTCCCAGTGAATTTGGCACTCATCTACCTGGCTTTTTGCCTCTCAGACTCAATGTTTCTTCTTGCTTCCATTTAAGAATTCATCCCATTCTCATTCTGTAGTCTGGCCTGCCCTTCTTGGGATAGCACTCCTGCAGTTTGGGAATTTCTACTTGTAGATTGTCCTGTAAGCCTTGGTATTTAAGCAAAGGACTGTAGAGATGGAGGATGCGTTACAGTGCACAGTTGTGTGTGTCCCCACACAGACACTTTTGTTCCCTATCCAGCTAGCTTAGATGGAGTATTGTGCTTCGCGGTGGAATTCTGACAGGACATGGGCTGGTCTGCCTTCTGCCACCATTCAGCACCCCACTGCATCTATCCTGTCTCCCAGAAGGCAATTTTTACTCTCTATAACTTGGATCTACAAACTAGTAGTTGGTTTTTTTAATGGTACTATGGATTGAACTCAGGGTCTTCCCAATAAGCTACACCCACAGCCCCTTTTTATTTGAGACAGGGTCTCCCTAGGTCCCCAGGTTTCCCAAGCTGGGCTTTTGATCCTCCTGCCTCGGCCTTCCCGAGTGCTGGGATTACCAGCATTTGCCATCAGGTGCAGCTCAGGCTCCCAACTCTTTACACATTTAGGAAGGGTTATTGTATCCCTTCAGTTTCACAGTGAGTGTACAGGACCCTATGTCCCCCAACCCACTTCATGAGGAAAATGTAGAGAGGGCAAAAGTGCAGAGATGCTGGCCTCCGCCTTGGCACATGAGCATGGGATTGAGCTTCCTGCCCCAGTCCACACAGCCAGCCAAACCAGAGATCTTGAGCACACGCTCACACACAGTCCAGCCTTGCTGCTGTAGCTGCTCTCCCCTTGCTCCACTCCTTCAGGGCAGGGCTCCCAGTTGTGTTGTCAAGCTTTCTCTTCCTCTAGCAAGTTGGCATTTTCCCTGAGCCTCAAACTCACCTGTAGAATGGGGATGCAGAGGTACTAGAAGGGTTAATGGAGAGCCCAAGGGAAGGCTCTGGCCTGGGGAGGCCTCTGTGCCTGGTGACTCCTTATAATTCTGGTTTACCTCTGAGTTCCAGAATGGCTCCCCATGGTACCTGACTTGCACAGTGTGGCCTATCCTGCTACTCGGGGATCGGACCTCAGAGAAATTCTCTCTGCTCCAAAGTCACTGCTGACCCTCAGATAGGTGCTGCAGCCTCTGGTCCTGTGAGCCTTCCTTTCTCCCCTCTTCAGACTTTGTGGCATAGGTAACAGGTTACTGAGCTGTCCATCCCGAGGTTGGCCTGAGTCCTGCGTCTCTCTTCCACCTCTTCTTGAGGTTCTTGCTATCATCTCCTCTAAAATACCAAAGGGAGTGGGCCAGGGGTTTAGCTCAGTGGTGCCTCACCTGCCTCAAAAGTGTAAGGTCCTGAGTTCGATCCCTGGTATCGAAAAAAAACCAAACAACCCCCCCCCCCAAAAAAAACCCAAGGGATATAAACATCCAGGCTTTTCCAGGGCTACCAAAAAGCCTGTGAATGATTCCTTCCCTTCTTAGGTCTGGTGGTCTGGTGGTCTGGTGGTCTTGCCCCATGGGCAGTTCTCTGTTTTTTCAGTCAGAACTAGCAGTGCACTTTCCCACTCCCTAAAGAAAAAACAAGAAATGAAACAATACAAGGCTCTTGACCGCCTTTGGCAGCAAGTGTTTCCTCCCTGACTTCCTTTTGGCACCCGGGTTCCTGTTCTTACATCCCTGTACCCCAGCTCAGACTTCGAAACCTCCCTTGGGTTGGGGATAAGCTCTTCGGCTCAGGCTGTGCCCTTTACTTCAGCCAGGGCCATTTGAACACTACTTCACTCCTACTGCCCTTCCTTCCCAAACTCCACTACTCCCAGGACTTCAGGCTGGGGAGAGGGAGCCGCCTAGAACCCTGAAGGGTGTGTGTGGGTCGGGTCACCACCTGTGGAGTTGTAACTGGAACAGCTGCTGCTTCGGCTGCCTCCTGGAGTTGGGGCCCCGGGAAAACTCGAGTGGCAGTGAAGTACCGGGAGGAGGCGGCGCTGACGGCGGGCTGGGGCTGGGGCTGGGGCTGGGGCGGAGTTCTCGGTCAAGCAGCAGCCGGGGCAGGGCGGGGAGGGTTGGCCGCTCCGCCCCCGGGAAGGGCCACGTTGCCCGCCCGCCCGCCCGCCCGCCTGCCCGGCTGGAAGGCCGGCGAGGGGAACCCGGCGTCAGCT